TACTGGATATACTAAGATCAACTGATTGGTGATTAAAGGGTTGTTTAAGTTGACACCACTTCTAGTGCCAAATGCATATTGGCTGCTACTGAATCTGACTCCTGGAACATTATCAATGTAATGCACTCTAACTATACTAAAGGCTGGAGATGGTTGTGATACAGCTAGCAGGTCTCCACTCATTACTGGTATAGGAGGATTGAGTGGATATTCAAACACTCCACTGGTGCTGACATTATTGGTCCCATAATAGATAACTCTCTCGCTTCCAATCACTAGGTCATATTGACTGCTGCCACCAATTTTTCGAAAAAGCTGGACACTAGGAAGAAGTCTAAGACCTGCTCTTACATCAATCCCCAATATAAGACTGGTTATAGTAGATGAACAATTGAACTGGTACTCTTGCAAGACTCTGACTGCCTCAGTTAAGGGACTTCCAATTGCACTACTTTTTAGATTGTTTGCTCTGTATCCGACCAGTGATTGACTCATGAATCTAGTACACTCTTGCTCCAGCCCTTGAGCAGCATTGATACCTAAAGTTGAAAATGAATAAGAATATTAGATCATGCAATTTAATACAACTAACAACAGAGAAAAGAAAAGCACAACATAGCCAGCAGCTTCATTTTTTTCTTCTAGTAGATCTATAAGTATTTCCTTAAGCAAAGTTCATGTTAAATATTGGTTTGTACCTTTGATGTGGTCAGCAATCTGCTAGATGTAGACTAGAATTAGTCCCAAGGTCATGCTATGTGACATCATCACAATTAACATTTATTTGGACATTAGGGAAATAATTTTATTTGAACATCAGTGAAATAATTCTTCAATCATCCAGTATGCATAGCTAGCACTGCAAATGTTATTTTAAGCAACTTTAATTGAAATTGTTTCTAAACTTCTGTAATTAAAGTCATCTAATATTTAATCCAGACATAATTGTAAATAATTTATTGTAAACTCAATGAGTGCTTCAAAATTCTATCTATTGTGATCATGTGATACAGATCCATCAATGTACTCATCTGGTATCTTAATCGCTACAAGCATGGGCAGAGTTTCCTTCAAACTTTCTATACTACATAAGAACATGTACACACAAAAAATGAGTGTGTTATTTGGTACACATTTCACTGTGTTGTTCTGCCTGTAGGTGTGCTAAATTACTAAAACAGCACACTAAGTGTGCTGTTTCAACACATACACACTTCAACCATTAAATTAACACACCTAGTTGTCATAGAAACATACTGACCCTCCTACTTTTATCAACAGGGAGCCAGACAACTTAGACCAGTACAAATTAGCTCTGTTTTCCTCTTAAACAGGTAAATTCAGCTTATATTCCTTTATAATATGGTTGTGTAAATCATTTTGTTACTATGCAGTTGATTTCAATAAGGGTGTGCATTATGTCAAAAGGTAATATTGAATTATAGGGGCTATCTGTGATCAGACATATTGGCTTCATTCCTTCTTTGGGGTGACTTAACTGACATGGGACTCTTGAAGGTATTGTGTTTGTATGATGATTCCTTAATTGGTCAATAATACATGTACATTGTATGTCCGTATGCCAATAATACATGTACATTGTATGTCCGTATGCCAATAATACATGTACATTGTATGTCTGTATGCCAATAATACATGTACATTGTATGTCCGTATGCCAATAATACATGTACATTGTATGTCTGTATGCCAATAATACATGTACATTGTATGTCTGTATGCCAATAATACATGTACATTGTATGTCCGTATGCCAATAATACATGTACATTGTATGTCCGTATGCCAATAATACATGTACATTGTATGTCTGTATGCCAATAATACATGTACATTGTATGTCCGTATGCCAATAATACATGTACATTGTATGTCCATATGCCAATAATACATGTACATTGTATGTCTGTATGCCAATAATACATGTACATTGTATGTCCGTATGCCAATAATACATGTACATTGTATGTCTGTATGCCAATAATACATGTACATTGTATGTCCGTATGCCAATAATGCATGTACAATAATTGTGCAACATACCCCAACACACCTGTGAGTATAACCAAATGATTTATTGTAGCAGAAATATTTTATCACACATAACATAAGAGCAAATGAAAATAACTTTGTAACAATACATGTCATACTAAAATAAACACCATAAATCCTTAAAACAATAATTTGTGACCATAATTGACAAAAGGTACCTTATGGCGGGTAGTGAAATTTGTCTTTCTAGCCTAAGAAATCCAACTTCCTGAGCCCCATTTATCATAAAATTACTCCACAGGATGCAAAAAGTTACCATGAAACTTTTAGAAACAATAATTGTCTAACAAAGCACTCACAGGTTGATATTTTCCATTATAATAATCAATTTAAAAATCCGCCATAAGGGCCCTTTTGTCAATTATGGTCACATTTTTCTCAATAATGTACAAGTTTCCTGATTTGGTATGTATATGTACCACTCCATGACAATACAAGGAACCATAAAGCACATATTTGACGTTATGTGTGGGGGAAACTTCAAAGGCACAAAGTGATTTATGAAATTTCTTTATTTCTAGAATTGTTGTTAGGAAGATCTTGTGGCCTTCATACATAAGGATGGCATCAATGAGTCCGTAGTCAAAGTCATAGGAAGACTCAGTTGTTTTTATGCGTATGACATATCCAGGTTTGTATTCGATTCCATGAATTATTACAAACTTGCACCTGCAACAGTATATAATAGCAAATGTACATGTACATATAGCTTTGTTATTTACGTTACCTTAAGCCAAAAAGGGAATTGTTGGGTATGTCTAGCAGCTTCTCAATACTTTCCCTATAATGGTCAAACTGTTGTGAATCTCCTATATGTTTGTTTCATGAAGTAGCAATTAAGTCAAACTACAAAGTTTTACCTGAAACTTGATCACCACCATATAAAAAATTGGAGGAATGTCGTTCTGGCGGGGTGTATAAATGGTATGAAAGATACTGTTGATGGCATATTGCAACGGAAAGGGGTACATTTCTAAAGCAGCGTGTAACGAAGCTTTTGATTTGTGCATTCTTTGACTCAAACCTCATACACCAGTGGTGTCTTAGTGGACCAAACCTACAGTACATATACGTATACAGTGGCGGGTCTAGGGGGGGGGCCTGGGGGGCCATGGCCCCCCAAAATTTTTGTGAAGTATAAAATTAGTTTTATTTATGTAAACTGTGAAACAGCTGCAGTGCTTGACTGTGTAAACAGTCTGTAAACCACAAAGGAGCTCATTTAAGAGGCCTAATCTTCTAAATTGTGACTTTCCAAATGAAATCCTGTAAGCCTGGTTGACCGCACCCACTAATTATCCCACCAATATCATTAAGGCCCCCCCCAGAAATTCAATCCTAGAACCACCACTGTACGTATATGTCATTATAATACAAGAAAAATGCAGAAAAATATGCATGTACTCACAGAGTCATTTGTTTAGGGAGATGAACAAGATAATGCATCTTTGGTCTCTGCAATGAGTTGTCCTGTACTGTTAATTGTAGTTCAATGGGAGGACAATGCCTGGTACCTGATCAGTGTACATGTTTAGCTGGTTATACAGGACCTGCATGTGAAATAGGTATATAACTGGTATTAGTAAAAGTAGAACGAAACCAGAAACAGAAAGAAACGCCAAAACAGCAAACTCCTAATGTCATTTTATTTTGTTAGGAGTCCCCTAGTTAATCCCCAAGGTTGGGTTTAAGGTTTAGGGTTTAGGGTCTAGTTTGTTTTTTTGTCCCCTAGTCATAGTCCCATGTCATGTTAAGAGTTCCCTACTTACATCAGGAGTCTCCTAGTTTTTTCTGTTCTGTTTCTTTCTTTTTCTGGCTTCATTTCTTTTCTTATTTTATTACTATACCCTACATGTAACAGCTTTATAATAATGACTGATATTTATAGATTTATTACCTTGTGATCATCAAATTCCTTGCCTTAATGGAGGCAATTGCTCTCATGTTGGATCTGGTGGTGAATACGTTTGCTCCTGTCCAGTTGGTTACACAGGAACCAACTGTGAAGTTGATATTGATGAGTGTGATCCTGAACCTTGTTATAACAATGGAACGTGTATTGTAAGTATTATTATGAGTGATGAGAAACAACTTTCAGAGGGAAAGATTAAATAAAGAGATATAGAAAGAAATATAAACAAATACAAATTGAAAGTCATATAATTCTATAGGAGGGAGAGCCAGGCAGTTTCAATTGCATATGCCCCATTGGATGGAAAGGTGATTCCTGTGAAGATAAAATCGACTATTGTGAATCCAATCCTTGTATTAACAATGGCACATGTAGCAGCCTAGCAACAGGCCACTATTGCAACTGTACAATTGAGTATGAAGTAAGGATGGGTAGTGTTGAGTACATTGCATTAGATTATTGTTTAGGGATTAAACTGTGAATTGCTTGTCAATGCTTGTATGCCAAATCCTTGCGAGAACAATGGCACATGCATCAATCGCATTACCAGCTATTCCTGTGAATGCAGTGAAGGTTTCACTGGCTATAATTGTGAAAATGAAACTGTGATAATTATTGAGATGAGTAGCAGTACCACAAGTGAAAATGCCACCATGACAGAGACAATGTAAGTCATTATCAGTGAATACAAATATTGTTATTTTTTATTGTAGTAGCACATATGGATCTGCAACTATATCTTCATACAATACAACAGTTATGACAGTATCAACTGTTCCTCCTACCAGCCGGCCAACTCCAATAGCTGCATCCTGTATGTCATTGAATTGCTTATTAATGATAGTTATAATGAAATTTCTTTAGCTTCCATTCCAGTTGGTCCAATTGCTGGAGGCTCCATAGTTCTGTTTATTGTTATTCTTCTTGTGCTTATTTTTGGAACAACAGTACTTTGCTATTTCAAAAAAAGGAAGAGTATCAAAGTTAATAAAAGTAACTTTTACTGTCTGTTGTGGTAATTATTAATTATATATAATTGTACAGGAGGACAAGATCACAATGAGTATTGTAAAATTGGCATCAATGGAGATTCCACTCTTACTCCGTTAGCAAATCCAAATTATGATGGCATTCAAGATTTTATGGAAACGAGCCAATCTGATCCTGTAAACAATGCAGTGTTATACGATTACGTGGTTTCAGGTGATCAGAAAGATGCACTTTCTCTTAGTGTAGGAGACAGTAGCTCTGATCCTGTTTACGGTGAGATATCAGACTCAGATCCAGCTGCATACAAGAGCGTTCCAAATCCTGTATATGGTGATACAGATCAACTGATGTATAAAACTGTTTCTAATCCTGTCTATGGTGATACATCAGGCTCAGTGACATACAAGAGTGTCCCTAATCCTGTATATGGTGATACAGAGCAGCCACTGTATAACAGCATCTCTGGTCCTGTTTATGCTGAAGCACCCGATCAACCAAAATACAAGAGTGTCCCTAATCCTGTGTATGGTGAAACAGATCAACCGGCTTATAAAAGTGTTCCTAATCCTTTATATGGTGATACAAATCAACCAGCATACAAGAGTGTCCCTAATCCTGTGTATGGTGATGCATCCTTACATGATAGCCCTGATGATAAAGTGTCTGGTAGTAAACAATGTGTCACTTATGATTACATTGAGCAAAGGCTATCAGGAAAAGATATTGATCCTATCACATATGACTATGTTCAGAATAAGTGACAATATGATGCTTTCTATGTTTATAGTACACCTTGCTTTGTGATAACTATATTTCCACATGTTAATTAAAATCAATAGGTTTTTTATTCTTCTATACCCTTTTGTCTTGATACTTGCTTGTCTTGACCCATGTATATTGAATAATCATGTTTATATCTTTTTAAAGATTTTTGGTCATTTACAGTAGCTGAACGCATACATGCATTCATT